TCTTTTTGATGTCTATTTTAGCTTTCAAAAATACATTCTATTTTTTTTTCATTCTTTTCTGAATAAGATACCACTCTTTACTATATTCATGGATATGAGTTTGATTTTTGAATTTCACTTGAGGAGACCAGCTTTATTTAACATTCTCAAGGTCTGACATCCATAGTAATGATAAACTTTTGTGCTGAACTAAAAAGCTGTTGAACTATGTGACCAAAGCCTTTTTCCATGCACTCAGATAGCACTCCCATGCACATTTGCCACTGAACTGACATAAACCTAGAAATTGCACATGGTCGTGTGCACACTTACACATGCACACTGATGTAATTTGAAAGCAACTCTTCACTATTTATTATGCATCCATTCTGCTTCCATTTGTGATGGATGGAGACCACGTCAGCATGGACAGAATATAAAGTTATGTTGATTTTCATTGTGCTAATGGAGGTAAATTAGCTAAAGGTCAATTCTAAAAATAAACTGATAAGATGGAGGAGGTTGCTGGAGACAAGAGTTTTAACAAACCCTCTGGTTGACCTACAAGTGCTTTTACAAAGCTGATTAACAGGAATATTACCCCCGTCCTCCTCCAGGACAAGCCCTTGATAGTTGCCAGCCCAGGCACATTTTCTTTATCCTTTTAAAAGTAAAGTTCCTAAATAATGCAAAGATGACAGTCTAGAAACTTAACATTCTTTACCCAATTGACAACAAAAAGCAAGAGAAACATTTTTGAACATTAGGAAGCCAGGGGCAGAAAGGGGATCCCACTTCGGAAGTACAGGAGAGAGGGCAAGAAACTGAATCAAATTTAGACGCTTTTGTTTTAATCTTGGTCAATTTGTCATAATTAGTTGCTCATGTTCATCAGTTTCATTAAACATCCCTCACTTTCCTTCGGCAATAATCTTTACTTAAATATTCACTCATGATCATGACAAGTGTGATTTCTATTTTTCTATTTCTTATAATCGGGGGATTTGGTATGTATCCAGTTATTCTGTTAAATGGATAGGACCAATTGGATCACTGAAACACTTTGAATTCACTCGTTCGTTCATTCTTTTTCTTTCTTTTCTTTTTTCATTTATTCTCATACATGAGTTTGACTTCAAGTTTTTAGTTGATGTCAGGGTTCAGGATCTTCAAATATCTGAGAGCTTCATAGCCCTGACTGAGTCAAATTGGACACATTTAGCAGTTCAGTGGCTCAGGATTTGATTGGTAAAATATAGCTGAATTCACTAATCGTTCCACATTCATTTTGGTTATATTTTATGTGTAGTTAAAAGAATCACCTTTGGGGCCATATACATCATTAAATTATGAATCGCTTTCAATTTTCTACAACTCATACTAGGTAAGGACCTAGAAATAAACAACTCTCCTTAGGAAAGATCATTATTTTTATGTCTTGTTGGGTATAATTCGAATACATCTCACTCAGAGATATGCTCCCATCCACCCAGGGCTAAGACTATAATGATCCAGGGTTTTATTTTTTGGGGGGAAAAATATCATATACACATACACATACACATACACATACACTCACAATATGGCGAGGGGGTTATGGTTGACAGACAGCAGATGAAATGGCAAAGAATTAATGAAAATCTATTCTGCCCTAGTCTTAGGATGTTTTTCTTTTGGTGTTTTCTCTTAAGATAATGAATAATGCATGCTTTGACTTATTTGTAGTGGGAAGAAAGTAAGAGAAAATGAGGAAGTGCTTCTAAGAAGTAAAGGAACTGTTGACCTCTCCATACTCCCTAAACAGCAGAGTTTTTCAAAGAAAGGTCTATAGACAATCTTCATCAAAATTATTAAGGAGACTAGGTCAAAATGCAAATTTCTTGGCCCTGCTTCAAGTTTCTGAATGAGACTCTTTGAAGTTAGATTGAAAGAATCTGCATTTTTACAAGTGCTACACATGATTTTTGTGCATCCCGAGTATTAAGAAACACTGCTAAAAAGTTTGCAGTGGAGATCACTGGAAAAGAATCTCCATTTCAATGTACACAGCAAGATCAGAATAACAGACATTTCAAACAAATAAGCTCTGTGTTTGCATCACAAGGCTGTGATTATTAAAGTTTAAGACTATTCTTTCAACAGGGGTGGAGAGCAATAACCATTTCGTCTGAAACCAGAATGATGAAGGCAATATAAATCAAACCTATTCTAGCAGGTTTCATTTGGTCTAATTTCTCTGCAGATATTAATCATTATACAGTTCTATACACATGACACCTAACTCCATTGTAACTCAGGATACAGAATGCTCACTCCGGTTCTTTCTCTAGTGTGTTATTTTGACAATATAAAAGAAAATAAATAAATTGAAACTGTGGGGCATCAAGATTGGAAGATGCCAACAATACCAAAACATTAAAGAGAGAAATGACCCATGCTAAACCTATAACCCAGCATGCAAATGGGCAAAAGCATTCATCTGCCACAGAGTCACCAAAAGGAAAAATAAACTATCTTCGTTTTTCTTTTAAAAATTGTTGCTCAAACCTGTAATCCCAGCACTTCGGGAGGCTGAGGCGGGTGGATCACGAGGTCAAGAGATAAGGGCCATCCTGGTCAACATGGTGAAACCCCGTCTCTACTGAAAATACAAAAAATTAGCTGGGCATGATGGCGTGTGCCTGTAATCCCAGCTATTCAGGAGGCTGAGGCAGGAGAATTGCCTGAACCCAGGAGATGGAGGTGGCAGTGAGCCAAGATCGCGCCATTGCACTCCAGCCTGGGTAACAAGAACGAAACTCCGTCTCAAAAAAATAAAAATTGTTATGTCAAGTGGAGGTGACAAAGAATTCTCCCCAAAAGTTTACAGAAAGAGTCTTATTAATTCCAGTAAAGATCATCTAGAACACCAAGGCTAGTCAAATTCCATGGCATGGTATATAGTGGCAGAAAATACCAGCACTCAAATTCACAGATCCACACTATAGTAGATACAACGTTGGAAGGTGAAAATTGTAGCAAAGAAAATGTGTAAGAATCAAAATTTGGTTCCCAATGTGGGAGCTTGTGTCAACCAATTTTGCAAAACACCATACATGCCTTCCATTTGTCTCATTGGAGCATGTTTTCCTTGGCACCAACAAAGGATACTGAGAGAAGAATCTAAAGCCCAGGGAAGCAAAAGTGATCCAGAAGCAGTAAAAGGCAGTAATGGGACCTAGAACAAGCAACACAGCTGTGCCAGTGGATAAAGCTTCCTCTGAATCAAACAAGGCTAACTGAAAAGTGAAAAATTCCATGTCAGCAGCCTTTAATAAATGTGTTCCCCCAAAATGAATTGGTTGGAGTAGATACAGCTATGAAGGAATAAAGAGCAAAGGGAACACTTATTATTTGTGCATTGTTCCCCCTTTTATTTTAATTTGCCATGCATGCATTTTCAGTAAGATAACTGTGCCTATAAATACAAAGGATAACATCAGTGCATTATTTTTTTGACAGCATCTCAGTGCAATTTTTCCCAGCAGGGGAAAGAAAAACACACTACCATATGATTGAGAAGTTTTATATTCCTGTCTTCCCCTTTTCCTGCTGAATGCAGATCACTTCCTTTTCAATAGTGGGTAGAAGCACTTTGTAAATATGTTTCTGACTTCAGAAGACCCACATGCCTTCAGGAAATGATCTCACCAAGCTCACTTGATTTTAGCATCATGGGATTTTCCAGAAAGCAATCTAAGTTGGGGCTCTACACATGTGATTCCCCATTCATTTTATCCATTTGATACTACTGACTTCTTCATATTAGCAATCTGTGGCCCTTGTCATGACCAACGTTCAAAAAGCAAACCATATATATTGTTTTATTCAGAATAAAATTAAAAGTTCGAAAAACTACTTTAACTTCAGCGAAACATGCCTGAGTCACAGTGACTACCAGGGTTACTAGAGCATGTAATCTTATAACTCACTTACCCAGAACTCATTTCCAATGTTGCAGGCTACCTGGACCTCACTTGATAATTCCACTCAAGCTAAACTGAAGTTTTCCTCCTCAGCGCCTTTTACTGGCCAGGTCTATGCTCATTTCTATACAAACACCCACATAAATAAACCTCATGCTGTTGTGTTACTTGAATTTTTTACCAAGGGAATGGGTACCAGCCTAGAGTTGGTCCAAAATGAAAACGATGCTGTTGTGGTAGTTTGAAACAGGTTTTCTATCCTAGCTTTGTTCACTGGGTGTATAAGGAATGCCAGAGCAGTGAAAACTCCTGACAGGTCAGGAGTCGGAGGAACACTGCCATGAACACTTCTTTCGCAGTGTTTAATTTCCTGTTTAAAGAATGTAGTAGAAATATTGGGTTGACTATCATTTTAATTCTCTAATTCTTATGAGGGTATCTCTCTGTCTTGAGGCCATCACAGTCAGGTGTAAAATTTAAGGAAGTTGGAACTGTGGTTATTTTAGTTAGACCCCAAAGTTTTTGACAGCACTTCCAGTGACAACACAATAATCATTTGACTAACGTGAGTCTCAGGATATTTTCCCCAAATTCAACTTCTTCACTCATTAAGTTCTGTGATTCTTTGCAAGATCTTCTGTCATTGGGATGATGGTGTTTTCATGTGCTGTCAAGAAACATGGAAAGGAATGAAGACATACTGGTAGGCTTTACAAACAAAGCTATGTCATAGTTAAGATCAAATATCTGCTAATATAGTAATACAGAAAAGAACATCACCTAAATCCATAAATTATAATTCTCTTAACAACTTAACTCTCAAGGTAAACTTTCTTTTACACTTACGTTAAACTTTAAACTCTATTCAAGCTATCAGGACAAGAAAACATTGGCTGAGTCTGTCATCCAAGTGTGAAGGTGAGAATTACAAAAATTCTGAGATATTTATATACTAATCATCACTAAGAACAGAAATCAAGACAGAACCTCTTACATAGTAAATGTGCATCATGAAAGATTTCAGAAGGAAGAAGTTAGTCATTGTTTTCTCCTGTAGACGTGATCCAATTGCCTTTATTACCTGCGATACACATACACACATGCACACACACGCAACGAAACAAATGAGGAGTGCTTGGCACACAATTAGTCATTGACAAATTATTTTTTCAGTTACTACTAAAATGCGTGAGGAATTCTGAAAATAAAAACTGGTCTTTTAACCTTCATGTAGCACAAGTCTATGAAAGAGCTATTGGTACCTTATAAATACAGAGTTACATGGATGGATGGCTATTAACAGTTTCTTTTTGGCTGTGTCTATACAGGTCAAGATGTAATTGAAAAGGATGGTTTCATTTAGAAATCTGAAACCTTAATTTTGGAGCTCCAGTTACCTCGTTGGGTTGTTACAGGTACCATAAAAATGACACAGCTAAATCCTAGCATGGGTACAGCTAATCCTCGAATCCCAAAAGCAAACAAAACTGGCTACAAGCAAATAACAATGTAGCTTCGCAGTTTAAAATTTTTATAAGAAATTATTAGGAGGTGTGTGGAATACAACTTAAAACAAAGAAAAGGCCAAACCTTATTCAAGTACTGTGTGATGTTCTTAGTTCCACAATGACACAGGAACTACAGAACTTAATGTGGATTATGTGGAAAGGCCACACCATTAAACTGTGGGCAGTGAGAACTCTGAAAACTTTGAGAGAAGGACAAATTCAGTTCAGGGTAGAGAAGGCTGAGTGTGGGGTCACTTAGCAGTAATTTTCTGAATATGAATGTTTGATTTTTTAATACAAAGAATGTTTGACCAGCTCTCCTCATCCTCTCTTAATGCAGAGAAAGGGCAAAGCAGTAAAATGGAGCCTGAGGGTGTTAATTTCGAAATAAGGAAGACAATTTGTTGATGTTGAAGGTTATTCGATGTTAGAAAGTGTTGCCAAGACAGGCTGGGAAATCTTCCCACACGAGTTTTAAGAAAGAGTCAGAGTCTCATCCATCTGAAATGTTCTAAGAGAGGGCTGCTGAGAGCAGGAGCACAGTCCTTGGGATGTGTCAGCCCTGGCATCGTGTGCATCGTGTGTATATACATCCTTAATTGTGCTTGTGTTGCACAAATACTCATGCATACGGAGTCAACATAAACTGGCACATATAGATTTGAGTGAAAAGTCATATAAATCTGCCATTCCCCCCTTACCGCATAAACAAAAGGAAAAAGCAAAATTAAAAAATTCCAAACGTATGCCATTGGGCCAGATCTTTTTCTACCATACCCTCATTCAAAGAAGGGAGGTAGAAGATGAGAGGAAAAAAAACCCAGTTGGGGATAAATGACTCCCAAGGCCTCTCAGCTACTTTCATGTAGCTGGCTCTCATTACATATAAGATACTTAGCACATGGGACCGAGTAAACAAACAAATAACTAAAAAAGATTTTCTGGTACTTCCACATCTAGAAAGAAATCTACCCTGTGGATTTACATGTTAAGGTGAACTAGGTAAAGTAGGCAGTAGTATATCAATGGACTATTGTGTTCTAAGAAATGTGCATCATTGGTTGTATTTTTTCCTTTAAAATATTAATTCCGTTTAGGAGGTTAGTTTCAAAATGATGACTTTTTTTCCCCCACCCCCACCCCTCCCTTATAGATGATACTTCCGTAAAAGTTCAGATTGCCAAGGATGTTTTCTCTCGGGAAACCGATCTGGAATTTTGATTTTCAGGAAATCCTGGATACATTTCTCCAGCTCCTCCTCGATTGAGAGCTTTTCTTTAACAGCTTTTTTTTTGCTGCTCATGTTCGATTCCCTGGAGCCTGAAGTCAGAGTCCGGAGTAAGTCGCTTTTCCGTCGCATCTCTGACTGTTGGATCAGCTGGACAGGGCCCTTCTTGATGGGACGGTCCAGAGTCTGGATGTTGGTCTGGCGTGTAACAGGACCACAGATGACTGTCTCCTGGGGAGAGCTGGCCTCAGACTGGCTGTCGCAGCTAGATGTGGAGAGGTCATTGCAAGACGTTCCACTCTCCCCTTCTTTGTCACCTTTGCCATTCTTGCAGCAGCAATCGCAGTGTGAGGGTGACCATCTGGAAGGCTCACCTGCAAAGAAAGCACAGGACCCAAGGGGTTAATGCCAGCCAGGTCAGTCGGGGTAGCAGCATAGCACTTGGACATACACACAGACACACATAAGAGAAGCATCACAGAACCATGCTTTTAGAAAAAGTTGGGTGGCTGCAACATGAGCACCCCAAAGCTAAGTCCATGAGGGGAGGAAATTAATGATGGCATACTACATAAGAGGAAATACAGTATAATGCTTAAGTCCATGAGCCCAGGAGTCAGAAATACACAGCTAACATCATTTATTAAGCTTAATCACCTTGGCACATCCCTTAGATTTTCAGACTCAGTTTCTGAATCCATAGTATAAGAGTAATAATTTTCCTAGTATCTGGAGTGGAGTTAGATAAGTCAAGTGAAATTCTTAATGCAGTATCTGACTCATAGTACTCACTCAATAAATGCTGGCCAATTTTCCATAGCTGATGGAAAGCTCCAAAACTCCAAGTGACAGCAGTCAGGTACAACAGGAGAAGGCTATCAAAGCAGAATGACTGTGACCAGGGAAGGGGGACTGACTCTGTGCCTGTCCCTTTCAGGGTATCCCTCATCTCCTTGGTCCTTAACAATAACCCTGTCAACACAGTAGTTCCAATTTCAGTCTCCATACAAGGAAACTAAGACCCCAAGAGTTTAAGAAACTTGCCAGAGTTTGTACAATTTGTAAGTGGCAGAGCTGAGATTTGAATACAGATCTTCCAAAGGCCATAACCATGGCAATTAACCATTTTATTTAGTATCCTTGTTAGTAAAATATTTGCTTCTACTTCAAAGCAATTTTAAAGTTATAACATCTCTGAATTTCTTGGTAACCTCTCCACAGAAGTATTTGCTTTTTTCTCTTCGCTGAATTATAGTTCTACTTTGTAAGTACCTCTATTATTACACATATTATATTCTGTTATACATCATATTAGCTCCTAGGATGTGAGCTCCTTAACATGAGCATAGTGAGGTATCCATTGTTGTAATCCCACCAAATACGCCAAGGAACAATGTAGAAATTCAATAAAAGATCATCTTATAACTTTTAAGTACCTGGATCTAGCCACACCTAAGCTAGTCTTGCCAGTGAGCTTTTCATTTATATGATAAACTATATTGTGTGTTATTTTTTAAGCCAACGTGAGTCCCTCTTCTCCCGTCCCTCTGAGTCTTGATTCATAACACTGCATTTAGCAATGTGAAGACAGAGCAATGTTGCAGATGCACAGTGGCTCCATCAACCAGAAAAAAAATCCACAATCATGGCACAAAGCAACTGCCTAAAAATGAATAGCTGCCCCTTGCCTCCACCCTCTGAATAGCTACAGTCTTCCTGGAGTCATTAACTTAGTACTATTTACTGATCATGTATTACATGCTGGGCACTTGTATAATTCTTTGTTCTTAATCCATAAAAATAAAGGGAACAAATTCCTTTATGTTATTGAGGACAAGGATAATGTAGTACCTATACAAATTTTTAAGGAAACCCCATTTTGACTTACACTATATCTTATTCTCATGAATAATAAGTCACATTATACAGGATCCTACTTTATTGCTGTTTCTAATATAGTCAAAGTAGAGAAAACTTACAATGAAAACTATTAGAAAATTACATTCTATCTTCTTGTATAATGCTTCTCCTTTACATAGTAAATGATTTAACATATATACCAACTAATCTCCATACATTTTTTTTTGGGAAAATAAACCAAAACTTCCTGTAAATTACAACTCCAGAAGTGCCCCTAAATTATACCCACTCTTTCAAGCCACTTTCTAAAATTTTCCCCGGAGTAATCATTGTATTTATAAAGCCATTAAATTAAATGCAACAATCCAATTAGCCAAAAGAAATCACAATAGCAGTATTGTTCTAGTTATCTCAGGCTATTACACATCTTCCATGCAATATAAAAACAGTGCAACATATACCAGCTGGTGACTGAAAATATCAGTACTAGAAAATGGTTTCTGTCTGCCAGCACAGATTTCGAGGGGATCATTTTTTTACCTTCACTAGGCAGAATCTGCTTCTGTTTCCCCAAACTCCACAACCCTTGTACCAAAATGACTTAACTGGAAATGGTTCCAATGAATTGAGCTGAAGAAAAGTAATCACATCAAACCAGAGACAATCTGGTTTTAAACCTTTTTGAAAAAGTTCAGAAATTAAATTTAGCTTTTACGAAAAGAAAGAAGAGGAAGCAGGGAAATACAAAAAGGAGGAAGAGAAGAAATATATGCTGGGATACACCTATTACCTTAAAGCAAGATTTCAAAATATTTTGGCCATAAACCCTGCTGAACATGTAGAGAAGCAATTCCTATGTCTTTTTGTCCAAGAGGTAGTCACCTTCCCCATGGTAAAGTCATTTCATTCATTGGACCCAGAAGAAAACCTGAGTCTTCTCCAAATTTTTTTTTTTTTTTTTTTTAAGACAGAGTCTCACTCTGCTGCCAGGCTGGAGTGCAGTGGCACAATCTCTCACTGCAATCTCTGCCTCCTAGGTTCAAGCAATTCTCCTGCCTCAGCCTCCTGAGTAGCGAGGACTACAGTCACCTGCCACTATGCCCAGCTAATTTTTTTGGTATCTTAAGTAGAGATGGAGTTTCAACATGGTCAAGCTAGTTTTGAACTCCTGACCTCAAGTGACCTGCCCACCTCAGCCTCCCAAAGTGCTGGGAGTACAGGTGTGAGCCACTGCACCCAGTCTTCCAAAAGTTATTTTAACAACACAAAGGATTTCTGTATATTCATGTGGAAAACTGCACAAAGCCCTCACTATGTGCCAAGGCAGGAACCTGGCAAGGATGCAGCTATTTCCTCCCTGGACTGCTGGCATGATCATGTATTTAAATGTCATCTGGGTTCCTCCAGCTACCAGACATATAGAAGTATTGCTTTCCACTTATTCTGGGCGCTATCACTATCAAAGGGAAATTGAAAAACTTAATTCTAGTGGAGGTTGTCATACTACCATGTTTCAAGATTTTATAAGAACATCTGACTGTTTTACTTGCCGTTTATTTTGGCAAGATAATTTATGAGATGGCTTCTGCAGTCTATATGTTATATTAAATTTTTAAAAAGATAGGATCAAAAGAGCCCTGTCCAGTTGATCCACTATTACAGGATTAATAGTACTACAGCCCCCCTGTAGTACTACATGAAAAGTCATTGTGAAGTTTGAAACATAATCAGATATGAGAAGATAACCACCCTATCTCTTTTCTGGGAGCACTCTCTGCCTGACTACCCTCTTCCCAAGAACCTAATTATAAGCAAAGAGGTTTTAAATCAGAACACAGAAGTGACACATGTAAGCTCCAGACCCCTTTGACCTTGCAGTCCCACTGTGATGTGCTTGCCAGTCTTGGAAAGTGTAGAAAGATCTATGAAAGGAAAGAACTGTCTGTAACAGAAAATATTGTAGAATCCCCCCAATTACAGCAAGTCACAAATACCTGGGTACTTCAAATTGCAACATATTTTGCTTCCTCGCTGAGGTTTTAATAGTGGCTGGTTCTCTCCATTTGGGGACAAAATAGGTTACAATTGATTAGCCACATTTGGGAAGAAAACCATTTTATTCCAAGAAAAGTCTGATTTATTGATATTAAAAAAGTAAAAAATCTATTGTCTGTTTGGGGAGTTATTAACTAGTTGCTGGTCAGAGAGCATTATAGCTCACCTTGTTTTTTAATAAGTCATGCTGAATTTGTTAAATATTATATGATTTTTGGTGCCTGCTATATGAGAGTGGCTTGATAAATGTTTGATGAATAATCAATGAATGAGCTAATCACATATGTTGAATTATAACAAGTTGTTATCATGGCAGTGCAGGTCTCAGGCACGAGAGTCAGGCCTCTCAATTTGTCAGCTGTGGGACCTTGGATAAATTCCTTCAACTCCCTGCGCCTCAGTTTACTCATCTGAAGAATACAGCTGTTAACAGCATTCACTTCACGGGGCTTTGCAGAAAGTTAAATGAGATAGCTAAAGTAAAGCTTGTTTTGTCATTTGTGGCACCCTCAGTATTCCATTCAATTATACATCATTGTTCTACCACAACCTTGACACTATTACATATAAAGGAAACAAATCAGGAGCTTCCCATATAATACAACACTACTGTTCCCACCAATACACTACACAATGAATTCTTAGGCCTAGCCAGAGTCTCACATTAGTAATGACACTGATGTTACAGCTGGATGTATCAGGAAAATGTGTATTGAGTATTTAGTAATGTCTGCTTCAGCATAGGAATGGTCAGTGTGAGTGACCACAAGCACATACTGTGTCGGGCACATGGTGTGTGACGAGGGGATGTTTTTGGAAGGAAGGAGTCTTTACAGTGCAGTGCTTAAAATTTCATAAATGGATGAGCCCTTCAGGATAAAAATTTACTTGAAAAACGTATCAAATAAACTTAAATCCAAAATGGGAAAGAATTCGCATTTTGGATTAAATAGGGAGAGGCAGGAAACTCAGTTATGTTAAGTCCTTAAAGCCCTAAATCTTCAAGCATTTTACAACTTAGAAAAACTGAGAACTAATCAAGAAAATTGTACGATTAGACTTGGCCCCTTCCACTATAGACCTCACGGTGGCAGTTCTTACTGGTAAAGAAGAAGTAAAACAGGAAAGACTACAGAATATTTCTCCCCTATGAAAAATTCAAACTGAGCTGAGTGAAACATGACTTAGCAAACTCACAAAGTACTTATGCATTTTTAAAAGAGGCAGCTCTGCAATGTACCCACACTTCAAATTTTCCACCTGCTAATGGCTGTGAGCACAATGCACATCATTTACTGCAACAGCTGGGAAAACTGCTTTCCCCTGTCTTCTCTGTCAATGATATAGGAGCCTGCCAGTCTGGGAGCTAGGTGGCCAGATTTAATTTATCGAAGCTGCTGAAAGACTTTCTTGGTATCCCAGCTGAAAAGTCAATAATGGGCAAATTGATGTTTTTATA